AGAACATCGTAACTGAAACTCTGTGCTTGTTGCTGAAGATGTGGACAGAGAGCTTATGGGAATGTCCAGAGAACTGAGATGCTGATTCTAAATTTCCCCTGTGTGGGGTTCTGTGTCCCATTCTGGGGAAAACAAGAATAAACTACTGCCTATCCAACAAGCAAGTCATAGGGAGCATTCCTTAAAGTCAGAATGCGTCTGCCGTAGAGGCAAGGAACAAAGAGTCTGTATACAGATAAGCCAGATCTGTAAAACAACAGATATATGCATGCATGGAAGGACAAGTCCAGAAGTGGACGACCAGTGAGAACTTCCCGCCAAAGTTTACAAATGGCGAACACAAAGAAGAAGATTCAACAGTGGTATAGCTATTGTTTTCTTTAACATATATGCTTTGGGGATAATGATAGTTAGTGTAAATGTTATGCTTTGGAGAGAATGATAGTCAGTGTAAATGTTATGCTTTGGGGATAATGATAGTCAGTGTAAATGTTATGCTTTGGGGATAATGATAGTCAGTGTAAATGGTAACTTGTGTTTCCACATCCACAGAAACCAATTTGAAGAAACAGGGCATGCTGCCTCTGACCTTCTCCAATCCTGCCGACTACGATAAAGTGCAGCCCACAGACAGAATTTCTCTGGTCGGGCTCAAAGACCTGGCTCCTGGAAAGGTAGTTGTCAGTTCTTTATTTGATTTTATTTAAAAACTTGTAATTGTCAAAAACATACCTCCTCTGTACTTGATCTGACGATTTAAACTTGCTCTTTTCTCTTCTTCTCCACTTCCTCTTTTCCCACTTACATTTGCAAGGAAAATCAAAACCCCATAAATCAGTCAGTAGCTAAGATATTTCTGTTATTTGTTGTCTAGCTATTGGCATTGAAAAAAGAAACACACTTTCATGGCATATGGACAGTGGTATGAGAGTCAGACCATGGATGAGATTGGGGCTTCACCAAGTAATATTGCCAAAGGTATCAGTGGATGCCAACCTTCATTGTGGAGATGACACATAATTGTTAAATTTTTTTTTTTAAATCTAAGGCAGACCCTGGCAACCATAACCCAGCATGTGTTAGAGATTTCCATTGTTTGTTGTCCAGCTGTCTCTTCACCTCCATGTTGTCACCATACTTTTGTGTGTGTGTGTAAACCACATATTCTCCCAATCCCCTTAACCCTATGTCCTCTTCACTCTGTGTTCTTATCATCCTCTTTACCCTGTGTTCTTTCTTTCTATTTTCTTTTCATCCTCTTCACACCATGTCCTCTTCAGTCTATGTTCTCCCTATCCTCTTCACACCATGTCCTCTTCAGTCTATGTTCTCCCTATCTTCACACCATGTCCTCTTCACTCTGTTTTTCCATCCTCCTCAGCCTATTTCTTTTTCACTCTGTGTCTTCCCCATCCTCTTCACTCTGTGTTCTTTCCATTCTCTTCACCACATGCCCTCTTCAGTCTATGTTTCTCCCATCCTCTTCACTCTGTGTTCTTTCCATCCTCTTCACCACATTCCCTCTTCACTCTATGTTTCTCCCATCCTCTTCACTCTGTGTTCTTCCCATCCTCTTCACTCCATTCCCTCTTCAGTCTATGTTCTTCCCATTCTCCTAACTCTCTTATTCCCATCCTCTTCATTCTTTGTCCTCATCACTCCGTGTCCATCCACTTCACTCTGTGTTCTCCCTATTTTCTTCACCCCAAGTCCTCTTCATTCTATGTTCTTCCCATCCTCTTCAAACCATGTCCTGTTAAGTCTATGTTCTTCCTATCCTCTTCAGTCCATGTCCTCAACATCCTCTTCATCCAGTGTCCTTCCTTTCGTCTCCATCCCCTGTCTTCTCATCTTCACTCCATTCTCTCTCTGTTTTTTTTTAATCGTATCCTTTCATAAACTACATCTGCCCATTTAACAAAAATGTGCACGTAAAACACAAGATCTAAAACAAGACGTGAGTTTTGGAAGTGAGCGAACAGCCAGAACGTTCTGCTGGGGTTGACAGCTGCCAGTTAATGCGAATTAGTTCATTAAGCTAAGACTCCAGTTAGCATCATGACAATTTAACCCCCCCCCCCCCCCCCCCCCCCCCCCCCCACCCCCTTATTCCTCCCGTCTTACCTTCCTTTTCCCAACATATCTTCTTCCTACTTTGTTAATCTTCCATTCTCTCCCAGTCATCTCTGCCTCATCTCACTTGTCCACTCTTATCTCTCTCTATCTCTCTTTCTGGATTGTCTTCCCTCCCTTTCCCTCTCCCCCTTTTTTCTCTCTCTCTCTCTCTTCCCCTGCCCCATTGTCTCTTACACTCACATACAGAGAGATTAACCTGACTTGTGACCTTCTTCTTCCCTAGCCGGTGGAGTGCCACCTGAAGCACAAGGACGGCACAGTTGACAAGATCTTCTTGAATCACACATTGAATGAAGGTCAGATTGCATGGTTCAAGGCTGGCAGTGCACTCAACAGAATGGCTGAGCTCAGTGGCAAGAAATAATCGACTCACTCTCGTTGAAGTGTCTGAACTATGTCATCGCTGGTGATGTCTGGGGACCTGACTAGCTCACCACTCACAGCCGGCCTGGACTTTCACCTTATCATCGATACCATATCATGAGTTCAGACATTTATTTCAAATAGGTGCAGGCTGTAACAAGAACCAGTATTGTCCCCCTATTGTCCTGATTTCATGTTAGCATAGTCTCGTGTGAACATTGAAGCATTTTGTTTTAAGCAGAAACCTACTAATGACTTAGACATTTTAAAAATACATGATAGCCTTGAAAGGTCAGTACTCTTGATTTGAGTATGTTTGGAGTTTTGTTTGAATACAATTGATTCAACTCTCATTTGTGGTCATTACATAAAAATTGTTTTTTTTTTTAATAGCTAATCAGAGAATGGTTGACTGTATTGCTGGTGGGCTGGCTAAGCAGATGTGGCATTTAATAACTTCAGTATGTTGTGTGTTGTAGTGTTTTGTGTTAGCAGTTTTCAGTGTTGCACCGGAATTTGCGTAAATTTGATAAGAATGTGAACTAGCAGGCTTTGCTAATTACCCGTAAAGTGCTACTTGCGAAAGGATGTGTTATATCTGTCAACTTTTTGGGGAGAAGGATTGGACCCACTGTCCCCTAACAAGAATGTTGGGCCAAAAGGCAGAGATATGACACCCCTTTACTGTAAACCACAACACAGTGGACCAACTTCCCCTGTGAAGGCGTACACAGAAGAAGAAATTGTATCAGAGATGGTCAAAGTGGTTCTCTGGGAGCACATAGGGAAGATTTTATTCTAGGTTTACAGGATAGAGGGAATTAAATGGTGTAGAATCACTAATGTAGAGTTTTCGATGAGAACTAAACAAGTTCCTGTGGACCCAGGGGTGAAAAAAATATGCTGGCGTTGGATAGGACACACATTGGGAAAACTTGAAAACAGTATAACTAGAATGTCTTTGTACTGGAACCCACAAGGGCATATACAAAAAGGAAGATGGGATAAACGCATGGAGAAGGGAGCTAGAGAGAAGATAAAAAGATAGGGAGAGCTGCATGCGAAGGCAGGGACTGAAAACTAAAACATTTTGCCATTTTTGCAATACACTATAGAAATTCTTAGAACAGCCAAAAAAGAAATACTGGGTTTGTTCTGCAACGTCCTTTAAAGGATACATAACTGTAATATTTCCTATAGAAATATGCTGTTGCTGTATCACATAAACATGAACATTTCTGCACTCTTTTTGTAATCACAATTCTAGGTAGTTGCTTTACTAGCCATGTTTCATTTACCCTGTAGGTGGCACTGTGCTGTTTGCAGAGATGCAGTTTTGCTAACAGGATAGGTTGAATACTTTAGTGCTTTAGTCATATGTTGTCGTCTTGGATTCCTACCAGAGTTGGGACAGTTCTCTTTATTGATTACTCCCACTTCTGTGTTTCAAGGGTCTCGCTTTATCTTTGCTTGTGTGAAATATTTGAAAATGTGTGTATAATGTGCTTTAGATGAAGAACATACATTGGTGTATGCTAAAAAAAGAGAGAGGAGCCTTTATATTCAGTCTTTAATTTTTATAGAAAAGGCAGATTTACTTCTACATTTCATGTTAAAATGATGTGATCCGTCTAATCCGAAAGTTTTTAACATCAGGTTATTGTTGTGAAACTAGTTATTTATACAGTTGAACACAAAATATATGGTTTTGATGAAGTTGCGAGGTTCTTATGTTTGGTGAATCCATCCAGTCTTCTGGTATTTTGAGAAGCTGTACAAATGTGAAGTGATAGGTTTGATTTGTGAGTGAAGTCATCACATTGATTGTAATATTTTCCAAATATATCTGAGATAAAGAATTAAAAGATTTCTGTGATAGAAGTGGATGTGTTTGTGGCATGTGTGTGTAAGTGGATGCGTTTGTGGCATGTGTGTGTAAGTGGATGCATTTGTGGCATGTGTGTGTAAGTGGATGCATGTGTGGCATGTGTGTGTAAGTGGTGGCATGTGTGTGTAAGTGGTGGCATGTGTGTGTAAGTGGTGGCATGTGTGTGTAAGTGGATGCATTTGTGGCATGTGTGTGTAAGTGGATGCATTTGTGGCATGTGTGTGTAAGTGGTGGCATGTGTGTGTAAGTGGTGGCATGTGTGTGTAAGTGGTGGCATGTGTGTGTAAGTGGTGGCATGTGTGTGTAAGTGGTGGCATGTGTGTGTAAGTGGTGGCATGTGTGTGTAAGTGGTGGCATGTGTGTGTAAGTGGTGGCATGTGTGTGTAAGTGGTGGCATGTGTGTGTAAGTGGTGGCATGTGTGTGTAAGTGGTGGCATGTGTGTGTAAGTAGTGGCATGTGTGTGTAAGTGGATGCATTTGTGGCATGTGTGTGTAAGTGGTGGCATGTGTGTGTAAGTGGATGCATTTGTGGCATGTGTGTGTAAGTGGTGGCATGTGTGTGTAAGTGGTGGCATGTGTGTGTAAGTGGATGCATGTGTGGCATGTGTGTGTAAGTGGTGGCATGTGTGTGTAAGTGGATGCATTTGTGGCATGTGTGTGTAAGTGGTGGCATGTGTGTGTAAGTGGATGCATTTGTGGCATGTGTGTGTAAGTGGATGCATTTGTGGCATGTGTGTGTAAGTGAATGCATTTGTGGCATGTGTGTGTAAGTGGATGCATTTGTGGCATGTGTGTGTAAGTGGATGCATTTGTGGCATGTGTGTGTAAGTGGATGCATTTGTGGCATGTGTGTGTAAGTGGTGGCATGTGTGTGTAAGTGGTGGCATGTGTGTGTAAGTGGTGGCATGTGTGTGTAAGTGGTGGCATGTGTGTGTAAGTGGTGGCATGTGTGTGTAAGTGGTGGCATGTGTGTGTAAGTGGATGCATGTGTGGCATGTGTGTGTAAGTGGTGGCATGTGTGTGTAAGTGGATGCATTTGTGGCATGTGTGTGTAAGTGGTGGCATGTGTGTGTAAGTGGTGGCATGTGTGTTTAAGTGGTGGCATGTGTGTGTAAGTGGATGCATGTGTGGCATGTGTGTGTAAGTGGTGGCATGTGTGTGTAAGTGGTGGCATGTGTGTGTAAGTGGATGCATTTGTGGCATGTGTGTGTAAGTGGTGGCATGTGTGTGTAAGTGGATGCATTTGTGGCATGTGTGTGTAAGTGGATGCATTTGTGGCATGTGTGTGTAAGTGGATGCATTTGTGGCATGTGTGTGTAAGTGAATGCATTTGTGGCATGTGTGTGTAAGTGGATGCATTTGTGGCATGTGTGTGTAAGTGGATGCATTTGTGGCATGTGTGTGTAAGTGGCATGAATTCATTTATCTTGGGAACTTGAAAGGTTGCTGAGGGCTTGGTAAAGTGGGCCTAAACCTTTTTGAAGTCGCAAATCCATTTTATTTAGGCGAACTGACCCGCGACCCCAAACACTAATTTTTAAAAAAAACCAGCATTTTAATATGGTCAGTGAAAATGCATAAGAAATTGATTTTTCAGTGTAATATATAATTCATATGAGAAACAAGACCAGGCACTCAGTATGCATGTATCACTAAGAATCAAACAATTAGAAGCCGAGCAGCACCTGCATTCCGCAAACAGATAACCTGTGCAGGACTGATGACGTGAAAGTTTAGTTTTCCCGTTTTAACATTTGTAATTTGCTTACCACTTTCTGAAGATTCCACAGAAAATTCTTCGCGACCCACTTGGGGTCATGACTCCAAGGTTAAGAACAGGTGGATCTGGAAAGGGGAAACTACAACATTATGCATCCCAAGAAACTCATCCTGGCCACTACTGAAGTAACTCAAAGACAAGAAAAGGAGAAATACTGAAACTCTTTAGGATCGGATCATAGAGGACTTGATGATACTATAGAGTACTGTTTCTCAGAAACTAAACTATACTTCTGTCAGATTAATTTCCCAAATACTTCTTCTTCGCGTTCACCAGCTGTAAACTCTGGTAGAAACTTCTGGTTGTTCATCCACTTCTCGACTGCAGTTTTGCTCCAGAAACTTGGTGTTGCGTGTGCATCAGTTTTACAGATCTAATTCACTTGAATGCAGACTGTTGGTTCCTTGCCTCTCAGGAAGATGCACTTCAACTTTAAAGGAAGTTCCCAATTAGTTGACTCTTAAGAACGAACGAAGGAACTTTATTTTTAAGGCTTTTAGGAAGGCAGTGCGTCTATTTTTGTTTCCCCCATAATAGGGCTCGGAACCCACATGGGGGAAATTACCCAAATAGTTTGAAAGAGTAGTAAAGGTGACTGTGTTACCTTGTAGAAGAGGGAGGGGTCTGTAAACTCTGGCATAAAGTTTGGTTGTTCCCTACTTCTGAACTTTAGTCTTGTTCCAGAACTTGAGTTTTGCGTGCACATCCATTTTACAGATTTGGCTTATCTGTAGCCAGACTAGGGTTCCTGTACAGACACTAGAGTGGATAACAACCATGGTGTCACTATGCTGTACCCTGCTAGAAGACTCAAGTCTGAGGATGACCGATTAGCAGCTCGTGAGAATGCTTGTACTGGGTGTGTGTCTGGTCTGCCACAGACTAATCTGGAAACATTATGGCAGGGGAAATAACTTATCACCAGTCAGGGGGTCCTCTTTTCTGCTGTCATCACGACATGCCTGAAAGGCTCTGTCTCTGGCCAGTTCTCCAGCCCTATGTGATTTCATAGCCTTTTCATTCTATGTTCTTCCCATCCTCTTCACACCATGTCCTGTTATGTCTGTTTTCTCCCCATCCTCTTTACACTGTGTTCTGTTAAGTCTATGTTCTTCCCATCCTTTTCACACCATGTCTTGTTAAGTCTTATGTTCTTCCCATCCTCTTGACACTGTGTTCTGTTAAGTCTATGTTCTTCCCATCCTTTTCACACCATGTCCTGTTAAGTCTATGTTCTTCCCATCCTCTTTACACCGTGTTCTGTTAAGTCTATTTTCTTCCCATCCTTTTCACACCATGTCCTGTTATGTCTATGTTCTTCCCATCCTCTTCA